TCTTCTTAATTTACTCTAGCTAAGTAAAAGTTACTATAGTTATACTATTATAATATATTTAAATTCTTTAGTATTTACTATACTTTGTAGTAATTTACTATTGTTTACTTTATTTAGCTTTAATTTACTATAGCCTATTATAATTTACTTGTATATTATATAATTTGCTTTATAGATTAAGACTTAGCAAATCTATAGATTACCTAGAAGTATCTAGTTATCCTAATTTATAACCTTTTATAAATTATAGTTAATCTTTAAGATTTATTAGAGTCTTTCTAACTCTTGCTCTGCTGTAACCTAAATTGTTAACTTGTTTAAATCTATTGCCTACTAACCTACTACCCTGTACCCCCTCCTTCGCTTTAGGTACCCTGTAGTCAGGTACTTATACTGAATACCCCCCCCCTCTAACCTTGCCCTCTAGTTGTCCTCCTCCTTTTTAAGCTTAATATAAACTTTAAGTTTTAGCAAGCATCTTATTCTAAGAGGGTTTTCCGCCCTGTTACAAAGCTAGCGCTCTACGTAACTTCTGTAGAAGCTTAGATTACTTTCTTTTACTGTTATTTACTCTCTTTTTCTCTTCTTTACTATATTTAATTATAGTTTTAGAAACTTTAGTTAATAGTATTATAATTTATTATTATTTACTATAATTACTAGCATAGATTTAAAGAAACTTGTATTAGTAGAAAAATAGTAAGTATATATAAGAAAATAATTACTATATTAGTAGCTATTCTACTTTAGTTTATACCTAATAAGTTTAATTGCTACTACAAACATATTACTAAAATACTCGCCCTATACCTGATACCTATGCCGCTTCCCTAACCATGCTGCATACTCTCTCCAGTCTCCGCCTAGCTTTCCGCAGTATCCGCACTGTCGGATAATCCCAACTGCCCAGCCATCCCCAACAGCAGCTGCTTGTACCAGCGGTACTACTACATTTGGCTATTGACACTTTGCTGTAACGTCCCTGCCTGTAGCGCAATACCTCTGACTAACAGAGCAGCGTTAACAACTGTTCTTAATGCTGTTGTTGCGTATACCCTTTTAAAAATAGTCTATGTTAACCCTATGCACGCCTGCTTGTGCTATACACTTCATTGTCTTGTGCGTCCGCCACTTGTCCGGCCCCAAGTTGTCTAGCACCCAGCATATAGCGCATCCTGCCCGCACCTTGTCCATCATCTCTTAAACCTGTTGCTACTTAGTGCTTGTCTCCTGCTGTGAACGCTTAAACTTAGGGACTCCCTCTCCACACTAGTCACATCTAGCAGACTTAATGTTGTTGCACGCTACAGCCTTGCCGTCTATGTACATGCTCATCAGCGCTTGTCGGCACCCGCGGCCTGTTAAAAACAACCCTATGGCCTGCACGCATAAGTCGTTGCTGTGCTTGAGCATCTCCTGTTCCACAGATCTACGCTCTACAACAATAACTGAGTCAACCTCCTCCCTGGCTCGCCCTCTACGCCTGCTCTCTTGCGCGAAGTCGATCATGCTCCACGGCATCCCCACGTGTAGTATATACACCACCCTGGGGTAATCAACCCCCGTCCCCAGCGCTGACGTAGCCACGATCAGCCCACCAGAGCCAAGCCACTGCTTTACCCGTTCAGCGCGATTAGGGACGTTAGCGTGATAGTATTCGCATCTAAGCTCTTCTGCTATCCTTTAACACTGTTCCTTGCTGCGGCAGTACACCACGCCCTTCTCTCCTGTCGCAAGCAACGACGACTGCCGCCGTGAGCCTACCGCGAGCGCTGTCTCCTCTAGCTTGCTGGCTTGACACCACGACACAAAGTATCGCGTGTTCGGCCGGACAGTGCTAGCGCGCACGTACGTTGCACACCGAACCAGCATGCCAGCCTCCAGTTCGCACTCTTGTGATGGCGGAAGCGTCGCTGTGAGCAGTACTATTAGGCACAGTAGTAACTGTAGATTAAAGCACTGTTTCTAGGCTTCCTAAGATAAATAATAGGTTTTAGATAAAATGTATAGGATAATAATTAATTATATTTATTAATAGATGTTTCTTTTTTCTTTTTGTCTGCTCTCCTTGTGTTGCTTAGCTTTGTTTTTCTGGTCTGAGTCCCTCGCGCACTAGCCCCATGCGCGACCAGCTGCAACATGCTGCAATTTGTAGCAACATACTGTTTAAGCTTATTGCTTGTACTATGTAGCAGCTTTTGTCCAGCGTTCCTCCTGTCTTAACAGTAGGTGCGCATATCTGACAGTAGTATGCGACCCTAGCGAGCATGTACAAGTAGTGCTTCGCCCTGCACAGTCGCTGGGCTGGGGCATCTATACCTTAAGCACAGCTAGAAAGCGGAGAAACCTAGTGCATTAGTGGTGGTAGTAGTGGTGGTGGTTGTTGTAGTTGTGATTGTAGTTGAGGCCTACAGCGGAACTGCAGAGACTGTGCGCGTATCCCTGTAAAGGAAAATCAAAATTAATTACGCAGTTGCTAGGCTAGTGCATTAATGCCCTAAGCACAGCTAGGAAGTGGAGAAACCTATTGCGTTAGTGGTGGCGGTGGTGATAGTTGTAGTTGTGGTCGACAGTCAGGGCTGGTAGCTGCTGCGCTAACAGCAGAGCCATGCGCGCATCCCTGCAAAGGAAAACTTACAATTAACTGCACAGTCGCTGGGCTGAAGTGTCAATGCCCTAAGGAGAGCCAGGAAGTGGGGAAACCTATTAGGTTGGTGGTGGTGGTGGTGGTGGTAGTTGTAATTGCGGTGATGGTGGTAGTTGTATCGTCGTGGTCGACACCTGTGGCTGGTAGCTGCTACGCGAAATGCAGACCTTGTGCGCGCGTCCCTGGAAAGGAAAACTCTAAATCAACTGCGCAATTGCTAGGCTAGGGTGTTAAAACCTTAAGCACGGCTAGAAAGGAGAGAAACCTATTGAGGTGGCGGTGGTTGTGGTTGTAGTCGTGGTCTACTGCGGAACTGCAGAGCCTGTGCGGGCATCCCTGTAAAGGAAAATCAAATCAATTGCGCAGTCACTAGGCTAGGGCATCGATGCTCTGAGCGCAGCTAGGAAGTGGTGGTGATAGTGGTAGTTGCAGTCGTGGTTGACAGCCAGGGCTGGTAGCTGCTGCGCCAACAGCAGAGCTAGTGCGCGCATCCTCGCAAAGGAAAACCTACAATTAACTGCACAGTCGCTGGGCTAAAGCGTTAATGCCCTAAGCACAACTAAGAAGTGGAGAAACCTATTGCGTTAGTAGTGGTGGTAGTCGTAGTTGCGGTGAT